AGGTTGCCGGCAGCGCTCACTGCACCTTCACCACCGCGCAGAAGGCAGTGGGGAAGGACAACTTCACCCTCATCCCCGAGGGAACCAACGGCATCGAGGAGCGGATGGCCATCATTTGGGAAAAGTGTGTGGTAGGTACCGAAATAAAGCTGGGTGCTGGCAAAGCTGTGGATGCAAGTGTGCGTGAGCGGTGCTTGTGCTGGGGGATGTCAGCGTCCTCGTTAATTCAAACGAGCCGGGAGGTGTGACATTGTCTAGACTGCTACTTCAGAGGAGCTTGCTAATGAGAGAAAAATGTGACACTCAAATGCCTTCAAAGGGTTGTCAAAGGCTTTGATACGGGGTTCATCCACCCGGCTCTCACGCGCAGTCACAAGAGAAAGTCCCTCCAGCACATTTTCCTAAGGGTAGGACGTGACGTTCCTTTTCCCTGGTGCTTGTGGGAGGCCTGGGGAGGTGGATGGGGACAGAGCATCTCTCCTTTGGTGGCCATGGCCGTGGCCGTGCCTGATCTCCCCAGGCCCCACCAGTGGGGACGGGTTGCCACGGCACCTCCGTGTCTGCCGGGCGGCGGAGCGCTGCTGCCGAGAGCGAGCTGTGGTACGAGAGCAGCTGGCCGGTGGGATCGAGTCCCGCATCCCTGCACGCCAGTGCACCCTGCCCTCCCATGGAGCATCCCGGGGAGGCTCTGGCCAGCATCCCACGGAGCAGGCATCTCTGTGTGGGCTTCCAGGAGCTTGGGAACCCAGCCACCGTGAAGCCTCTGTCTTAGGTAGGCTCTGTTCAAAGGTAAATAGAACTTATCCTAAGATAATAAATAAAGATGTTAAATAGCACTATTTAGGTTCACTTCCAGTCTTGCATCATTGAAATACTCTTAACCATCTTTAGTGAATGTGAGATGCCTGTATGGGGAGTTGGAGCCTACCAGTGAAGGTCTTGTTTTTCAGAGACCTTAAGTTTCAGAGTCCGGGGAAAATAGTACCCACCTGCTGTATTATTTAGCCCAGAGGGACAAAGCTCAGCCCCCGACATCTCCCTTTTCTCCTGTAATTGCAGCCCTGGCGCAGTGTGGATCCTCACACCGCAGGGTCACGCGGTTGGATCCTGCGATTTCTTCTCCAGGAGCCTCGGTCCTCCTGGTGGGAGAGCATGGGCCCGGCCACGGACCTGGGAGCAGGGCGCATCTCCGGGGATGATCCTTCTTCCCTTCTCTTTCCCAGGTCTCTGGGAAGATGGACGAGAACGATTTTGTAGCAGTGACCAGTACCAATGCTGCCAAGATCTTCAACTGCTACCCCAGGAAGGGACGCATCGCCGTGGGCGCTGACGCAGACTTGGTTTTGTGGAACCCCAAGGCTACTAAAATCATCTCAGCAAAAACCCACAATTTGGTAAAATATTTTTTAAATTATTTTCTTGAGCTGGTTTTAGAGTCAGAAGAGAGCAGTAAAGCAATATATTTCCTCAGATCAGAAAGGTCAGCTCATTCAGCAAGGGAGGAGCTGTTTATATGGGTAAAGTGATGAAGGACCTCGGATTTGCTTTTAAAAATACAAGCAAATAAAAATATCCTTTGGTCATTGTAAAGGGTAGAGCTGTAGCTGTGACTACTCTGAGATGTTCTGCATCCAGTACTGAGATTCTAAGATCAATGTATTCGCCATGGACTAGAAAAATAGAAGTGCTGAAGTGGCTCTAGGTATTAAGCTATTAATATAGTTTAGTACATCGGGATCCTTCCCGAAGAGCCAGAGCTATTCCTGCCGGTCCGTAGGGGTCACTCAGTCGGGAGGGAGTCGGGTGCGTCTGCATGGCGTTGTAGCCGTGGTTTTCCTGGCTGTGGACATCCCCAAACCAAGTTCGAACACGAGCCTCAGCCAGAGGCGAAACAGAGAGGGGGTGAGCTGTTGTGAGCAGTGTTGGGGGCAGAGCTGGCTGACGTTAATGTAGAAACATTTTGACCCATGTGGGTTTTTTCACCAAAATGTTTTTTATTTAAGATAATTATCACCGTGATTGAAATATTCAGGTGTTTTCTTTTGAAAATAGAAACAGGTTTTGTTTTGGTCCAGAAAATTCACTGTTGCTTTTTAATAATGCTGCATTTTTTCACTGTAAACTTTGGGTTTTGGGTAGTTTGTTAGTGACAGTAATGGGAGCATTTGAAGAAAGTGGCACAATTTTGCATTTCCCACAAGACAGACCTGACTTTCCGTACCTGTGTCGGTAGAAGACTTGCAGGGACTTGGAGCAAATGGCAAGAACTTCTCTCCCCGAACGGAGAACTTGAGCAGGGCTCCCCTGGGGCTTAGCGAGGGTTCCTTGTTCGCCTGGGGTAGACGTCTGGTTTGCTCCAGGAGTGCTGCATGTCTTCGGGGCAAGTGCTGAGTGTTTTGGGGATTTAGTTTCTCCATTCCAGTTTGCTTTAGTTCATCCAGTTAGTTGCAAGAACCTGCGTATCTGAAATACAAAGGGTTCGTTAAGTACAACTGATTGTGCACGAGGAGCAGCGTACAAAAAGAGGGGGGTGTAGTTGTCGCCTTCTCTTCTTAAGTCTTAACCATGTTGAGTATCTTGGTTTGTTTTTCCCAGAACGTGGAGTACAACATCTTTGAAGGCACAGAGTGCCACGGGGTTCCTACCGTGGTCATAAGCCAAGGAAAAGTTGTTCTTGAAGATGGAAAGCTGTGTGTCACCCAGGGGTCAGGTCGCTTCATTCCGAGAAAGACCTTCCCTGATTTTGTTTATAAAAGGATAAAGGCAAGAAACAGGGTAAGGAGAATTTTATTTGCCATAATCTCATATCTCCATTGCAATCTCGCTGCGTTGTTGTATCGCAGTTGCTGTTACGGCAAGCCTGCTGATGGAATAGGCAACATAAACAAGAATATTATTAATGTTATTTCTGTCTAGACCGTGGAAATTTGTAATGTTGTTGTGTAACCGCTTTGGTGTGTGGCTTGGCACATTAATCTATAATGCCTATTTTAGTATTACAGCTAATAATGCTAGTACTATCGGTATTGTTTGCCTATTACAAAGCAAAAATATGCCTTCTAGCAAATCTGGCTGTGTTTGGTTTGTAGTGAGGTAGAAGGGAGGTATTCCTCTCCTACCTGTGTTAGAAAAGTTTATGTTACTGTATTACCAGTGTCTGCTCTGCATCTGTCAAAGACTGATGGATGTAGCGTTTGGTAGTTACTGGAAATACAGCCAGAGAAATCCCTCAGTGTGCCAGCACAGCTTTTTAAGGAGATATGAAGACACGCAAATATATAAAAAGCTTCTTAACAGCTCTGCCCTCCTCCCCTTTTCCATCTGTTATTTTAGACATTTTCATTATGCATTGTAGGTGAAGGTAGAGCAGAAATCATTAACCCTCTGGATGCCTTTCTTGGGGTGCCTCTGGGTGCCTGGGGCTGCCTCTGGAGTCAGGGCGGGATGGGGCCCTGCCAGCTCCCTGCGGGACGGGGATGGATGGGACCGTGGCAGGTCCCTGTGGGATGGGGACGGGACCCTGCCAGCTCCCCGTGGGATGGGGATGGATGGGGCCCTGCCAGGTCCGTGTGGGAGGCCGGGTCTCCCCCGTGGCACTGCCTGGCAGTGGGCAGCTATCTCCACTCCGTTTGGCAGCAGCCATCGGTGGCCTCCTCCGTTTCCCGGC